ATTGCCCTTCAGGGGATAGTGAGCTAGAAGGCAATCAAAGAGTAATAATTTGATAATTTGGCACAGGTTCATGGTTGCTATGGAGGACAAAAACTCCTATGCCTCCTCCAGATGGCAGATTGAAACCCCCAAACATCTTGGAGGTTCCACTGTTAGCCCATCAATAAAATCCAGCAGCTTAAGTAGGGATTCTGCTGGGCAGAAAGTAAAGTAATTCACCAGCAGCAACCCTAACTGTTCCCTAGAGCCAGCCACAAAACTTCACATTCATTTATCTGTGGAGCAGAACCTCTGAGAGTCTTCAGAGACTTAGGGTAACAAATGTCAGCACAAATTATATTGCATTTCAGTTGTGACTCAAATAAATCATGAAATAATTTTAATACACTCATAACCAGAGCTCCCTGTTTGCTTACCAAAACAATATTTTTGCTTTATATCTACAGCTTTCCTCATTCTCCTTTCCAGGTAAAACCCTTTAATATCAGCATATTTAAGCATGTGTTCATGTTCCACAGTTAACTTTTTTTTGTTTTTCTCCTAGCAGCACATTGAGGCTATGATATAAAAATGGAGGTTTGTGTTCCCAATTTCTTTATAGTGATTGCTTTAAGAATACTAGATGATTTCCTAGAGTTCCTCCATAGAAATAACCCTCAAAAGAAAGAGAAAAGATGGACAATAGTGCACCTGAAACTTATTTGCCATAGCTATGTGACATTTTTATTCAGGTCTGATATAGTTTAAAGACTTTTATGCAGAATATTATGAACAGAGCTACAGTCATGCCTCACTCCGCAGGAGGTGGTGAAAGATTAAAGCCAGGCTGTAAAAATTCTCCTCACGTGGCACCCAGAAGGGCAAAACAGTCAAGAGAAAGAAAAGGTTAGGGTTCTGCCTATATAAATGACAGAACTGCTTATCCCCAGGCCTGGGAGGGGGCAGGTAAACTCTGCATGGAAGAGACTCTTGAACGTTACTTAAATGAAAAAAAAAAGATGATAGGCAGATGTTTTCCCTTTAAATTACAGTTAAAAAGGCCGATAGTGTGCATAGTTTAAGGAAAACTATTGGAATGAACAATTTCACATAAATTGTCAAGTTTATGAAAGGGAGAAGCTTTCCTCACATGATTCTGAGAAGTTTTCACTGGATCAGGTATTTAGAATTAACTATAGAGGAGTCAGTTCAAGAAATGGCTTGCAGTATGAAAAGGAAGACATGGAGGAATAGTTGTGTTTCTGTTCAACACCCAGTACAGACGTTTGGTTCAAAATGGATTCCAGTGCAGCGGGATTTGACATTATTTTCCAAACTGAAGCTGGGCATGCTAACCCATACATACCTAAGAATTTCTTTCTCAGAGGAACTATCACACCACAAATATCTGCTATTGGAAATCACAGATGAATTCTCTGAATATAAAAAAACTTTAAAATGGCAGTCATCAAACTCTGTGACCAAAGCAAGTTCATTCACAGATGCAAGGTAGATAGAATCTAAACAGTGGGGCTATTTTAAGAGTGTCTTGATCAGTGTGAGAAAAGTAGAAAAACCAGGCCAACAAAAAGATAATTTGCCTCTGTAATTTGACACATTAGTATTTGTGATTCTTTAAAGTGCTTGCCAAGATTTTTAAAAAAATCTATTAATATTTCATAATTGCAGACAATTATGAGACAGTAATTGTTTTAATCAGTATAAAAGCTGAAGATTAAGATTTTAAACTTGTGGTTATTCCTTACCAGGAGCAGAGTAATGCTATGCCACTCTGTTAACTTCATTTGGATTTGTGTGAATGTTATCATGTGTCAAAGTGTTAAAAAACCTTTATATTACTTTTGTTTTGAAGTTTTTGAATTGTATATTTTGAATTGTAAATCTGAAAGTTTTAGTTGTTATCATGAGATTCCTTTCAACTGTTTGAATGTTTAGAAATTACAAATCATAATAAAAGTCAAAGTCTGAAAATCATGTATAAAATAGCTTCACAGAAATGTAATATTAAACCACCAATAGTTAGAACTTGTACATGATGCCTCATTATCAAATCTCTTTACATCAAGAATGTTACACCTTATGTACAACACAGTATCATGTACTACATGAAGGAATTAAATCACATATAGTATAAGATACTATATGTGACAAGAAGCAATGGATGGAAACTGATCAAGGAGAGAAGCAACCTAGAACTAAGGAGAAACTTCCTGACAGTTAGAACAATTAACCAATGGAACAACCTGCCTCCAGAAGCAGTGAATACTCCAACACTGAACTGGAAGTTTTTAAGAAGAAAGTGGACAGCCATTTGTCCGAAATGGTATAGGGTTTCCTGCCTGAGCAGGGGGTTGGACTCGATGACCTCCAAGGTCCCTTCCAACTTTACTACTACTACTACTACTACTACTACTACTACTACTACTACTACTACTACTACTACTATTATTATTATTATTATTATTATTAATTATCTCATTTTTAAATAAAATAAAATAAAATGTTTCCCCTGTGCTTATTATAGAAAAGTAATGACAAAGCAGGCCTATCAATTGTGGATTTGAAGATAAAAAAATACTATCATGATTCAAATCCATCAAAATATTTATTTTGAGTGGTGGGGGGTTGCCATTAGCTGAGTAAAATCTTATCTTTATCTTTGAAGAGTTATAGAAAAGGTATTAATCAAGCTTGCTTTTAGCTAGCCATACTTCGCAGGATTTCTATTGAACTGGACCTAGGTATTTGCAAGACCGCCTCCTACCAAACACCTCCCTTCGACCAGTCTGCTCTCACAGAGAGGGCCTCCTTAGAGTGCCGTCAGCCAGACAATGCCGGCTGGCGACCCCCAGGGGGAGAGCCTTCTCTGTGGCAGCTCCTGCCCTCTGGAATGACCTACCCCCCGACCTACGTACAGTTGCGGACCTGCGCCTTTTTCGCCGAGCCCTGAAGGCCCATCTATTCCGTGCGGCCGGCCTGGCGTAGTTTGATTATGTTTTAGTGGGGGTTTTTATATGGGGTGTTTTTAGAACAGGCCTGTTATTTAATTTGATTTTAGAACAGAAACTATTTATTTATTATTGTGGTTTTTAGTATCGCCTGTTCACCGCCCTGAGTCCCGTAAGGGAGATAGGGCGGTATATAAATTTAATAAATAAATAAATAAATAAACTCATATTTCTTAGAGGAATGTCATAACTACAAATTCTTAGAATTATTTTTATGTGAGTGGACTGGGGCATGGAATTATTAAATTGTGGAACAGTCATAAGAAAATGAGCCTGAATGATCTTACTTTCGTAGATGTATGCAGGAACAGAATAAAGCAGCAGGCTTGTTATATGTAACATAGCATAATAGCTAAGAGATAAAGGTAGAGACCCACTTCAGACAATAAAATATTATCCTAGTATGGTTCTGTCAATCTAAACATTAAAATAGGCTAGGAGGTTAACAAACTAGTGAAGTAAAGTAGCAGCCTCTTCTAGTTCTGAAAAGCAAGCATCACATTCTTTGTCTATTTTATAACTGCATAGAGAAGTGGTTCTATTCTTTCACTAGAAAAATGAGTGATTCTCTGTCATGAATGAATAACACCTGACAGACTTATACAATTTTTTATCAAACAAGCTAAGAAAACACAGGGAAAATGGGTTGCCAATTCAATTGTTATTGCATTGGATTATTCTCTATCCATTTTTTGCTCTTTTTTAAAAAAATAAAGAACAGACATAGTATGACCTCTTTTATATTTAGCATTTTCAAATTTCTCTCTCTCTCTCTCTCTCTCTCTCTCTCTCTCTCTCTCTCTCTCTCTCTCTCTCTCTCTCTCTCTCACTTTCATACCTAACCTGTTAAATTCAATACAGAAATATATAGTGCAATTTGGATACCCTCATTGCTTGCCCTACAGACAGTGCTAAAGAAATTATTCAATATTATCAAATCATGAGTGATAGCCACTAAAATGCTTAACAGAATCAGTGAACCCAAGAGTACGATTTCATGGCTGGAACCTTGTACATTTTCTCATTTGCGACAGGAGTTGAATATAGTCAATCAGTTAGAGTCAGTGTTCTGGATTATTTACATGGTATTGGCTCTGCAGGCAAGAGACACGAGTGGACTGCAAAGGATATAAATTTCCATTACAGTCATTTTGGTATTGCTAGGTGCAATCTGTTTCCTTTTTTCAGGGGGACATTTTATCAGGATGATAAACACATGTAGAGCAAGTGTTCTGCAGATAATAAATACCAAAGAGTCAAAAAGCTGACATAGCAAAGCAAGTCTCTATCTCTAACTCTTCACACCTTGATGGAGACTAAAAGCAACTCTAACTTGACATGCATAAATGTACAAGTCTTAAAAACAAGAACTAAATCTTTGAATAAGTCTTGGTTAAGCTGAATGCAAAAAGAGTTTCAGTCCAATGAATTCTTAAACAATAGCAAGGAGATCAAAGGAGCCTTATTTATAACTGTAAATAAAATTAGCCAATGTATCTAAAACAAATTTTATTTGAAAAAGGCTACTTTGGACTTTTTAACATCCAAGTATATCATATAAAGTAAAATTTGATCACCATAAACATTTGTCTTACATTAAATCCAGAATAATAATACAACACAAAACAATTCTGTGTAAATGTAGCCTATTGCCAAACATATGGAGAGAAATGAATGGATGAGGCTTCCAATCAACAAGATGGACTTTGCTAGCAGAATGAAGCCCAAATACTCAAACTTTATTTTATCCATAGTGCCTCTGGATTTCTTAAAAAACAAAACAAAACCTTGTGCAATGAGAAGGAAAGGTCCTCCTCTCCTGGTGCATTAACACCTGCCTTCAGTAAAAATAAATTTATTTATAGAAATAAACCTCTTGTAGAGAATCTCCACATTTGACATAAATGCTAAGGATACTGTAGAAAGAACAGTGTTTTACCACTGCTGCAAAACTAGCATAAATGCACTTAGGAGTGGAAAAGTAAGAATTACCTGTCTTTCTGACATGACATAGAGGTAATTATGATCTGTGGAAAAGGCCATGTCACGGAGGATATGACTCCCATCCTTGAAAATTGGCACCGTTTCATACTGAATACCACCATGAGGAGGCCCATCTGCTCGGATCTAGGATAAAAGTCAGACATACTACAGGTTAGTCATTGTTATTGAATTTAAGGGAATAGGTTGATATCCCTGTAGACCAGAAACAGAAATCAAACATAGTTTCATACACTGCCTGTCAGAACTGAATCTAAACATGGAATCACTTTTTTGAAAAATTGTTATTTTACAATAAACTAAATGGCCTAGAAACCTCCTGAAGGGCAGCATAAAAATTAAATAAATAGCCATCTAATTAGACAACATCCTGTATGAGTTCTGAATGCATGAACAAAAAACTGGAGTGACAAAGAGGCCCTCAACTTCCTACTCTTTCATTTTAATCCCCAAGCATTCAGTATGAAAGGCAGTAGGACTCAATTTGACTGTCATTTCCTATGCAGTCCATGTTCTAATAAATCAGGGGCCAGATTGCAAAGATGGATTACTTTCTGATCTTCTGCTGAATACATAGAAATTGGGCAGAGAAAGAGTTACAGTGCACAGCTTGAATGCACACCCTAGCAAGTGTAAATTCTTCAGCATATTTATTTATCACCTTCAAAAATTTCAGGTAGTATTCTCCATGAAAATAATCCAAGAATTTTTTATTTCAGTATGCTTCTGCATGTATCTGCATTTGTCTGTATGGACACACATGTTTGTGTGTGTAGTTCTATAAAACCTGAACCAGTTATACACAATATAAATATATATCACTGGAGTTCTCATACCCAAGTTGGCAATCTAACTGAAGTTTAAGGATAATAGCTAAAGCCTTAAATAATTACAAGCTAGCAGAAATTTGTATTGCATTTTTTAACAAAACAAAAACTTGGCTCTCATTAGGATGCCAGATGGATGCCTAGGGTGGTCACTTATAATCACTTTAAAAAAAGGAGAAAATCATGATGAAAAAGAGGATCATCAGATTTACACAAGTGGCAGGTGTTAATAGTTACATTTTTTTGCATTTTTTCCATATAAAGTATCTTCTGCTGAACAGGATATGTGATCAGTGAAAGGTTTAGTTTATTATCAAGCTCTATCAGCAATCTATAGAGGCTTGGATCACCTCCAGCTCTGGAGACCTCTAGTCATAATAAAAATAAAAGATGACAGCACTTGAAAATAAAACACAGAACAAAAGTACTCCCAACATAAGTGAAACATAAGTTTAGTGCTTTTTTGTTTGTTTGCTTTTAGGGAGAAAAAAAAAGCAGAGGTTTAAATTTGATGCTCCCTTTGGGAATGAGCCCTAAGTCAAATTACTTGATACCTTTCATTCAGAATAATCCTGATTGTTTTGACCTTTTCAATCATCAATAATATTGTCATTTGAATTTTCTGCCTTAGATAACAAAGTCAAAATAATTGATTTAGTATCTATAATTTTTGTTTTAATGTTTTTGCATTTTTATCCACATATCTACTTCACTGCAAAAATTTGCTCTTTGAAGGAAAGAAAGGAAAACAAACTCACATTTCAGCAGACAAACTACTGAAAAGACCATTTGGATATTTTCTTATGAAAGTATCCTGGTCGGTTCATATTGATGATATATTAGATTTAGTCATGCAAATCTCACTCACAAGAGAGAATCTCTCTAGTTGTAAGCCATCCTACTGTTTGAGTATCTTCTGGTTCTCTTTTCAAATGTTAATAATTGATGGCCTTTGGGAAGAGGAATGGAGAAACACTTTTTATTGCATTTTCTCTAAGAACTAACTAATATGTGAGTATTAGTTTTTGGGTTTTTTTTTTTACAAAGAGATGCATACATAGCACCAAACTGCAAATATTATAGCCAATATTGAGCCATGGTGGTGCAGTGGTTAGAATGCAGTATTGCAGGTTAATTCTGCCCACTTCCAGGACTTCAATCCTGACTGGCTCAAAGTTGACTCAGCCTTCCATCCTTCCAAGGTCAGTAAAATAAGGGCCCAGATTGTTGGGGCTCATTGGGTAAACCACTTAGAGAGGACTGTAAAGCACTATGAAGCAGTAAATAAGTCTAATTGCTATTGCTATTGCTATTGTAACCAGGTGAGGCAGTCCAAGTTTCATGAAGCAATCTAATGGCTTAGTGATATTCATTGACAGAAATTCTCTCACTTTGCTGGACACAACATTATTATGCAGGAAAGTTTCAAAGCATATGGATGCACTACCATGCTTGAGATGGGAGCAGAAACTAAACCATTGTTTATGAAGAGCTGTTCATCACAAAGAATCTGCTAACTTCAATCTCATGCCTGGTTGTTATTCATCATCCCATTTTACTGTTCAATTAGTTGGTGTCTGATAGTTGTGTTAAGCTCATATATTAAAAAAGAAAATTTAATATAAGCTGAATCTCCAGAAAAGGAATTACATATTTTAAACTCTAGTTTCTTTGTCAAAAAAATAATACTAAAACTTAGAAGGAAAATCAGAACATTAACAGAACTATTAAATGAATAGTAATAATACATGTACTATTCTATTAAAAATGCTGCTTACATCCAAAAAGAGAGAAAAGGTTTTATCGTACTTGACAGACAAAGCAACTTTAAAGTCATTTGAAAAGGGCTATATTACTATTCCATTTTACTATTTGTAGGGAGGCAGACAACTCTGTCCCTAAGCCTAAGTTTTTCAGCAGTCCCTTTCTCCACCTATCATTAAACCAGCTGTTTAAAACTGTTGCCAAGACAACAGCTTCCAATGTCCTTCCATTAAAATGCCTGATTGTAATTTAATTAATCCTCATAGGCTAGCAGGCAATGTGTTGCTAGGCCTGGCATGGTGGCATTTCTTGATTAGAACACATGATTAATTTGAAGTTTCTGTATTGTCTTCTTTTCAGAAACAGATAATCCACAGTTCCCATAAAATAGGAAATACTCTTCAACTGAAAAAAAGCTCTAAGTCAACTATAATGCTGTATCCCCCACCCAAAGCTAGAGACTCTCTATAGTTTATGCCAACAATGTCAGCTAATCTGCTGTTTTTAAAATGTCATTCCATTATCTAGATCTTATCTGTACATTATTTCAAAAAGAGGTCTTAAATGCATTTCAATGGAAAGCTGCTTCATAGTGACTAGTTTGAATGAGGTTCTCTGGCAGGTACTTCCATGCATCAGACTCCTTCTTTATGTAAATTGACTTCAGACACTTTCACATCAAACAGATTTAAACTGCTTGACTTTATAGTTGCTTTCCACACAGCAAAATGCATATTTGTAAAAGAATATCTACATTGATTAAGATGTGTATACGTATGTATGTATGTATGCACGCATGCATTTGTTTGTTGCCCAAGGAATTCAAGATAGTGTTTAAATGTGAAGAATGGCAGACAAAGAAATAGAGTGTAGTGGCTAAGCAAAAATTTGAACTTAGTTCAAGTGATTTAGTTTATAAAACACTGGTACATCTTTTATATAGTATGAATAATGCATAATCTTTTTTTTATAAATTTCAATAAATAATGCACAATAATGCATAAATATTGGGAGAGAAAAGTGCATAAATCATCTTTATGTACTTGCATAAAAAATAATATGTAGGGAATAATAAATAATATTTTCAAGGAACATCGTATACATACTTGGGAAAAACAATGTGTAAATGTAACCTATGTAATAAAAACACATCTTGTGTTTCAGTCACTTATTGATGAACATGTCCTCTTCCACTTTATATACTTAGAAGCCCTTTTGATGCACAAAATTCTTAGTTAGGAGCAAGGTTTAGAAAGGTACATAAGAAATTGCTTAAAAAGAAACATTTTGAAAAAGCCTATACATTAGGAAAAATGCATGCAAACTACATTTATTTTAAGACATGTGTTATCAAAATGCATGCAGTTATTTTGTGGATTTATTTTTGTTGAATGTAGAAATAAAATAAAAATCTTTGATTGATAAACATGAGAAAGTTGACAGATTTCTCTATATCCATTTGTAATTAGTCAAATATTGGCAGTTCAGCGAATAGAATAGAATAGAATTATTTATTGGCCAAGTGTGGTTGAACATACAAGGAATTTGTCTCCAATGCATAAGCTCTCAGTGTTTATACAAGTAATAGTGATAATCATAATCATAAACAATATGAAATACATTCTTCATAAATAATAAGATGCAACACTTAGTGATAGTCATAGAATACTAGCTAAGCAAACAACATAAATCATACTAAGGTACTAAAAACAATATAAATTGTAAGATACAAGCAACAAGGTTATAGTCATAAGATGATAGGTAGGAATGATGAGGTGTATCATAGTAATATAGGTTTACTAAGTAGTTTGACAGTGTTGTAGGAATTAGTTGTTAAGCAGAGATATGGCATGGGGGAAAAACTGTCCTTGTGTCTAGTTTGTAATGTCCTATAGTGTCGTCTTGAGGGAAGAAGTTGAAATAGTTTATGTCCAGGATGTGAAGGGTCTGTTGATATTTTCACAGAGCTCTTTCTTGCTTGTGCAATATACAGGCCCTCAATGGAAGGCAGGCTGGTAGCAATTGTTTTTTTATGCAGTTCTAACTATTCTAAGATAGACATAGACTTCTAACTATTCGTTGAAGTCTATATCTGTCTTGCTTGGCTGCAGATCCAAACGAGACAGTTATAGAGGTGCAAATGACGGACTCAATAATTCCTTTGTAGAACTGTATCAGCAGCTCCTTGGGCAGTCTGAACTTTCTGAGTTGGTGCAGGAAGAACATTCTTTGTTGTGCTTTTTTGATGACATTTTTGATGTTAGGTGTCCATTTTAAATCTTGAGATATTATAGAACCTAGAAACTTGAAGATCTCTACTGTTGATACTGTGTTGTCTAATATTGAAAGAGGTTGTAGAATAGTAGGGTTTCTCCTAAAATCTTCTATCATTTCTACAGTTTTGAAATTCAAGCTTGTTCTGGCTGCACCACAAAGATAGTTGTTCAGTATGAGTCAACACTGATCAAATCACTGTTGTATCATCTGCAAACTTCAGTACTTTAACAGAGGGATCTTATAGTTATATTATAACTA